TATGATGCCGCAAAGAGTGGCTGTAAATGGAGAGCAAGATGCCATGGAACCACCTGTGGGAGTGGCCATAGTGGGAAAGGTGGGTTGGCAGCTGGATGGGGGGCATGGTGGTCATAAAGGAGCAAAGATGGCAAAGCAGAAGAGGCAGGGCAAGTACAAAGGGTGAATTTTCTGTCTCTCCCACGGTACCTGTTTTCCCCACAATCTCTCTTCCAAAATTTCTTGCCTCTCACATATTTCTGTTCTCACTGACAATTCTCTGTTATATGTATTTTCTGTTTTAATTGTGTGTTTCCCCAGGTTCTTTGTGGTGCCTCAGTAGTGGGCATGTCTGTTTAGACATGCAGGAGGCATGGCTGTGGCAGTAGCTGTGTAGTGACCACATTGATCAGAGGGCTTAGCTTATGGTGATAAGAAGGAAAAGGACAAGGCCTAGATGGACTGGTAGGTGCTTCCCCAGGCTGTGGTGGCCAAGGTGGAGCACAAGGTTGACCAGGAAAAGGAGGAGTATGGCAGGGAGAAGGGATGGGTAGTGGCTCAGATAAAGAAACTTCAGTCAGCCAGAATAGAGGGGCATGACTCAAGAGGGATGGGAATGGCCATGAAGGAGCAAAGGAGCAGCCAAGGGAATATCCCAAGGACTAGGACTGAGCTCAGGTGCCAAGGCCAAGGTGAAGGGGCCAGTTCTCAGTCTTTTCTATAATACCTGGTGTGTTAGTGAGGGTTCTGCAGAGAAACTGAATAAACAGGATACGCACGCACGCACACACACGCACACGCACACACATGCACAGAGAGAGAGATTGATTTTAAGGAATTGGCTAAAATGATAATAGCGTTGTTAAGTCCAAAATCTGCAGTAAGCTGGCAGGCTGGGACTCAGGGTAGAGTTGAGTTGAGTCCAAACAGTTGGCTGGCAGAATTCCTCTAGAGGAGGCCAGTCTTTGTTCTATTAAGGCTTTCAATTGATTGGATGGGGCTCACCCACAATATGGAGAATAATCTGCTTTATTCAAAGTCCACCAATTCAGGGGCACCTGGCTGGCTCAGTCGGTTAAGCGTCTGCCTTCGGCTCAGGTCATGATCTCAGGGTCCTGGGATCGAGTCCTGCTTCAGGCTCCCTGCTCGGCGGGAAGCCTGCTTCTCCTTCTCCCTCTACTGCTTCCTCCGCTTGTGCTTTCTTGCTCTGTCAAATAAATAAATAAAATCTTAAAAAAAAAAAAAAAGTCCACCAATTCAAATGTTAGTCTCATTCAAAAAAAAAAAAAACCTTGATAGTAACATCTAGAATAATGTTGACAGAATATCTAAACATTATGGCCCAGCCAAGTTGACACATAAAATTAACCATCACAACTTGTCTCTCCAAATCCTGTCTCTCCCACAATTCTCTGTTATTGCTCAAAATCTTTCGTTCTCCCCAGAGTTTCTTGCCCTGGAAAGAAAAACAACTCATTGCTTCTGTCATCAAGAAAGCCTTGCTATGAAAAAAAAAAAAAGTCATCTAACTGAACACTGTTGTTTTTTTTTTAAGATTTTTTTATTCATTTGAGAGAGAGAGCAAGCAGGAGCAGGGACAGAGGGAGAAGCAGGCTTCCCGTGGAGCAGGGAGCCCGACGCGGGGCCCGATCCCAGGACCCCGGGATCATGACCTGAGCCGAAGGCAGACGCTTAATGACTGAGCCACCCAGGCGCCCCCTAACTGAGCACTGTTTAATGACGTATCAGATTTACATTCTGGTTCAAGCTTCTTATCTCAGCTTGGGCCAGTAACTAGCAGTTCCTGGACTGGTACTTGAAGAGCACTGCCATTTTTCATTTCTAGTCTACTTCCTGGTATATAAATGAGCAGTGACTGAAGTATTCAATAAGCAGGAACTGAAGAGATGGAGGAATCAATGAACCTTGAACATCACTTATCACTGATATTTACGGAGTAGCCCCTACCAGTGTGCCAGTACTGTGTTAGGTGCAAGGAATACAAAGTTGAACAAACTGGTCAAAGTCCCTGCTCTTAGGGAATTTACATTGTAGTGAACAACCAACCACAGACAATCCAATATACAAACCAGAAAATACATAATTACAAGTGGTGAGACACCATAAGGAAAATGAAACAGACAATGTAACAGAGAGAGGTGGGGCTGCTACTTAAAAAGTGTGTTTTGTGGAACATCAGCTTTGCATCTCCTGAGAGTGCTTGAAATGCAGAACCTCAGGTCACACTCCAGAATCACTGAGTCAGAGCCTGCATTGTAACATGATCTCCGGGTGCTCCCTATGTTCAGTGAAGATGGAGAGGCTCTGGATACAACTTCACATATGGTTGTCAGGCAAGACAGCTCTAAGGAGACATTTTAGCTGAGAACTGAATGAGGAAAAACCCAGTCCTGTAAATGTAGGCAACGAGTGGTCCAAACAATGGGAACTCCAGCAAAGGAAATGTCCCGAGATAGGAGTGAACAGGGAAGATGAGTGTGGGTGGGACAGATTGAGAGAAGATAACTTGACCTTTACTGTTGGATCATTTATCAAAAGCCCCATAATGAGAATTGTTGATTTGCAGCGACTCCAGAAAAGTTCTACATGCAGAGACCTCTATTTCTGCAAATGAGAGCTACCAGATAGGTTTTTACATGCAGCCACTCATCCATCTTGCACCCATGACATTGTTTATCAGTCACAGAACTTTTTCCTTCTGAGCCTAGACAAAGATACAAAGCTCAACACAGTTATTCAGGCAGGCACCACAAATAGCTCAAAGTTGACATGTAAGTTGAAACCCACTTGCCATCCTAGGGAAAGAGCATGAAAATGCTACCCTTGGAGGGCCTGTGCACTTGGATGAACAGAAAAGTTTTGATGGTTCATAGAACTGATTTAATGCACTGTGCTTTGTGATTGTGCCAACAGCTTACATTGAGGGGACCTATGTTTAACTCCTCACGACACTTATTTCCCACTTCTCTCACCACATTATATGAGGAAATAGGATTTTTCTCAGGACTGAAATTCAAGAAAAACTGTTTCTGAAAAAAAACTAAAAGATTGATTTTTATCTTAAGAACACTAGAAAACCTTAAAACAATTTTTTTCCTCTTTTCTAATGCTGTTCAAAAGCTTAGGGGCAAATCTTTGTCCCAGCTTAAACAATTGTTCTGGATCTGGTGGCCTGCATACTTAAATGTTGATCTTATCATTGGCTGCTTTATTCTCCTTACATTAAGTTCCCCTTTCGCTGGCTCCTTCAGCTATTTGTTTTATCCAGTAATGTTGATATTTTCGTAAGCTGCCTCAAACTGTTTGTGGAAGAAGGTGAGGTAGAACTTACTATAAAAATCAGCTCACTAATTTATACAGACTGTATTTGTACCAACCTCTGTGAGTTCATTTTTCAGGCAAAAATGACTGGCAGTTGGAACATTTTATAAATGAGGCAGGGTTCTCAGGGTCAGGATGAGCTTAATACCAGTGTTCTGTTAAACTTGTTCTTTTCTCTGTGTTCTTTGTAGCACAACATTTTGAATATTCCCACTATCTTCAAGCCAGAAATGGAATTGGAGGGTGGGAAGAAAAGAGAAAGTAGCTATATATGCTCTCACAAAATCTGTATTGTTGGCATATGAAGAAATAAATGTAGCAAATCTTACTGCTGGGAGCAAAGAAATGTTATCTTTCTACACATGTGAAAAGGCTAAGTATTCAATGAAGATTTATTGAGAATTTATGGTGTAAAGAAGTGTACTAAGTCCTATAAAAGTGACTTCCTATGTTTGCTACCCAAAAACATTCCTACTAATCGAATCAAGAAGACCTTTGCTTACCAAATCCTTTTCTGCCTATCAGCCCCCTTGCCACACCTTCTCTAACTTTTTCATCATTTCTTGTCACATCCAAAACCAAGTTGGGACAACTTCAGACTATAAGCTCCTTGGGGCTTATCTTCTTTGTTAGGGGAGCAGGTACTCAAAAAATAGGATTTGAATAAATGAATCAGAGATTTCTGCACAGGGGTAGAAAAGCTGGTTATAACCTTCACATTTCTCTTGTGGACCCAGAGTTGTAAGTGGAGAGAGGAAGGCAAGCAGAGTGATCTCAGGGCACACACAGGGCTTGCAACCAGAGTTTCAGTCTCATTGTGGTCGTGTCCCCACAGGCCCTAGACAGCGGGAGCTCCCTGGGTGCCTAAGCAGTGGAGGAGGTATCAGGAAATACAGCAGTTCTGTTTACTCCACTCATCTGTCTAGCATTTAGGTTGGCTAAGGGACTAGAAGGAACATTGGTCCATAGTTCTGGTTTAGAGGATGTGAAAACTGGCTGGAAGAAGCAGTTACAAATTCGAGTTCGGTTGTAAAAGCTGGCTCCAAGAAACTCGGGTAAAGTGAACATGAAAATAATAGGAAGGAACACGGTTGTATGACTCGTCCAATATTTGCATTTCCCTACGGACCGACGGGCTCTCGGTACGTTCAATCTTATGTTTGGAAACCGGAGAAACCTGAGGAAAGTCATTCTCTAGACGAGTCTCTTAAGCCTGCAGTCTGATTTCACCCGACAAAATGTCGCCAGCGCTCAGTTCCCAGACCCGGGAGGGTTTCTCTAGAGACAAGGGGGGCCGCCCACGCGACCTCGAATCCCTGAGGCCAAGTCCCGCCTGGTAGGAAGGAGCGCGCTAGGGCCTTGGCTCCCTGCAGGAGCCAGGCCACCCCGGAGCGCAGGGGCGTAACCAAGGTGGAGGGCGGAGCCCAGGCGGAGCTCATGGGCGTGGCCCGGGTGAAGGGGCGTGGCTGTGACGGGATGGGAGCGGCCAGGCCGCGGGCTACAGACAACTTGGCCTGGAGGGGCGTAGCCGGGGCCGCACGTAAGGACGTGAGGGGGCGTGGTCCCGACCGTGTTGGGAGAGGCTTGGAGGGGGCGTGGCCCGGGCTGTGGGGCGTGAAGACGGGGCGTGGCTATGATGTCCAAGCGCACTTGCCGCGGGTCCCCAGGCTAGAGCTAGCCGCCGAACTTCGTGCAGTGGAGAAACGCTAAGGTAAGGGCCGGTGGCCGACTGGAGTGAGGGCCACGGCGGGGGCAGGCCGACTCAGGGAGGGCCGGGACCGCCCTCACACACCCGCACCCCGCCACGCCAGATCTCAGAGCCCGGACAGCTGTTCGTCCTGCGAGTATTGCCGGGGTCCCGGCACGGCCTCACCCTTTCCCCATTGTAGCCCTCTTCTGCTATGGGAGTCACCAACCAGATGGCAGCACCTCCTTTGGAGTTATTGCATTTGCCGGGAAACAGCTGTCTGAGGGCCCTAGGAGGGAGTGTGGCCAGGGGTGGTTGAATGTGAATTAACTCAAGAAGGTCCAGTCTGCTGTGAAATAGCTGTAGACAGGGGTAAAGGCTACAAAATCTGAAATAGCAGTTCCGGAAACCGAGGCGCAGCAAGCTGGGACTAACTAGGGTCTGGGTTGTATTCCCCCCATCCCCCACCCCCTAAATTACCAGGGTCTGTGGACGGAGTCACAGCCACCTCCAAGGCAGGGGATCAGCATCACAGCTGTGTCACGTGGACAAATCTGAGCCTTCTCCATTCCGAAATTACTTCTGGCCTTTTTGTTTTGTGCCCCGCCCCAGAACTGAAGGAGAACCGCTGAAGTACAAACATTTTTGATAGTTACGAGTCTTTGTGGCATTCAGTGTTAAATGCTACTACCTTAAGCCTGGTGGCAACTCCTTAATATTAATATAAGTACCTCCCCTCCCCTGTATTTTCCCTGGGAAAGTTTGAGAAATACAAGAAGTTGGGGCGCCTGCATGGCTCAGTCGTTATCGGCTCAGGTCGTGATCCCAGCGTCCTGGGATCGGGCTCCCTGCTCGGCCGGAAGCCTGCTCCCTCTCCCACTCCGCCTGCTTGTGTTCCTGCTCTCGCGCTCTCTCTCTCTGTCAAATAAATAAACAAAATCTTTAAAAAAGAGAGAGAAATACAAGAAGTTAATGTGTACATCTTAATTCGGTTAGAACTTGTTCTCCCCCAGCCACTGAAAACTTTCTGCTTCTCCTTCATCCTTTACTGCTAATCTGGCCATCTCCTCTCTGTTATTAAAAAACCTTGCTGGAGGGGCGCCTGGGTGACTCAGTCGTTAAGTGTCTGCCTTAGGCTCAGGTCTTGATCCCAAGGTTCTGGGATGGACCCTGCATCGGGCTCCCTGCTCAGCGGGAAGCCTGCTTCTCCCTCTCCCACTCCCCCTGCTTGTGTTCCCTCTCTTGCTGCGTCTCTCTCTGTCAAATAAATAAATAAATTCTTTAAAAAAACAAACAAAAAAACCTTGCTGGAATAAGGAGAGGAGTAGGCAGATTTCTCTCATGAGGGAAGCTGCTCCAGACCCTACCACTTATCTGCCCCTGCACATCCCTCAGAGTGGTCACTGTTCACAGGTATGTTGGAAATGGAAAACCTTTCAGCTATCTGGGGCATTCTCAGATAATTTTTATGTCAGAACCAGGACTGAAATTCACGGAAAGGCCAAGATCAGCAAGGGCACCATTCTCTGGGCCTGTACACACCTTTCCTGTTCTCCCTAGAGCCAGTCAAAAGGTTGTGACTCACAGTTGGGACTCAATAAAGATTGAGTGAATTGTGAGTGAATGAGTGGACTTTTTGGAAATTTTACGGGGGGGGAGGACAATGCATGTCTTCGGCAGCGCTGGGGCACTTAGTTGCAGCACACACAACAGTTACTAGAAATGTATTTTGAAACTTCTGGCAACCCCAAATTGGGATCATGATCTTGGGGAAGAAGTAGGTGAGAGGAAGAAGCAGCTCAGCTTCTTCTATGCTGTCCGGACAAGACAGCATAACCTCTGATTTCCGTTTCAGGGCTTTTGCAAAAGACTGGCTTCCTTTGAACTCAGGAGGTGAGAAAACGAAAGGTCAGTCTGATGAGAATCAAGGAATTTTTTTCAATGTAATTGTAACCTTTAGTTAGAGTACTTTTTTTTTCTGTCTGTTTTGCATATGTATAAATGGCTTAATCAGGCAGAGTTCAAACTACAGTTGAGCCCTGAACAGCACAGGGATTAGGGGCACTGATCCCCTGCCCAATTGAAACTCTACCTATAACTTGATTCCCTAAAAACATAACTTCTAATAGCCCACTGTCGATCAAAAACCTTACCAATAACATAGTCAATTAACACATATTTTATATGTTATATGTATTATATAATATATTCTTACAATAAATTAAGCGAGAGAAAAGAAAATATGATTAGGAAAATCATAGGGAAGAGAAAGTACATTTACAATACTGTACTGTATTAATTGGGGGAAAAAACCCACATATAAATGGAGCTGTGTTGTTCAAAGGTCAGCTCTACCTGTCATTTTTTTTTTTTTAAAGATTTTATTTATTTGACAGATAGAGACACAGTGAGAGAGGGAACACAAGCAGGGGGAGTGGGAGAGGGAGAAGCAGGCTTCCCACTGAGCGGGGAGCCCGATGTGGGACTTGATCCCAGGACCCTGGGATCATGACCTGAGCTGAAGGCAGACGCTTAACAACTGAGCCACCCAGGCGCCCTCTACCTGTCATTTAATGAATACATAATTTATGAATGATTCTTTAAAGGCTTTTAGAATTTTTTCTTTTTTCACAAATTTCTTAGTCTGCAAAACAGCAGATAAAAGACATGTTAGTAAAAAGCCAGGGACATACATAAATAATCAGTGATAGCAAAGGCATATAGTACAAAAAACTTAGCACTCATGGGGCCCATCCAGGCTACGGTCCTATCTTAAAGACAAAACTTAAGTAAGGACAGATTTTTCTGTGAAATCTGGTAATGTATGCTATTAGTTCATTGTTATGTATAATGTTTGATAAACATTATTTGTGGTTTTACAAACTTAGATTTTATGAGATCTGTAGGTAAATTTAAATAACCACCTATCAATAAATTATAATTTTAATGTCACAGAGTAGATTGGCTTTAGGCTTTAGCATAAATAACCTCATGTATTGCTACAGGTATTGTAGCCTAGCATTAGCTAAATTGAGTTTCTTTTTATTTGGATTTTCCTGGAAACTTCCTCACTGCTGACCTTCCATGCTCTGTTCCTTCTTTGATTGTCTTCGACTGCTCCTTCTGTCTCTTGGCCTCCTCACTCCATTTTGCGAGGCTCCCTCTATACACCTGTTACTCCTGGGGGGAAGGGTGGGGACTTTCCTTCTCTCTCTAGCCACATGACCTCTCCTGATCACAGACAGAACTCTTTTCTAGATTTTTCCTCTCGCTGTCCCCTTGGACCTCAAATCCATAGGATTAGCAGGAAGACTGCCCTCTTTCCCTTCCCACGTGCTCCTTTTGCCAGCTTGTTTCTCTCTTCAGGCATTCATCCTCATTCTACCACCAGCATCATCCAGCCATAAAATCACGGGGCCGCCTTCAGCAACTACTTCCCTTCTCTCTCCTCCAGTTGAGTGCCAAATCCTACATTTTTTACCAAAATGGCAATCTCCTGAATACAAAGAACTTTGGTCCATCGCTACTGTCACTCTCTGGTTCAGTGCTTCATATTGTCTCACTTGGATTACTGGAATTTCATTTCAGACTCACGTGCCCAAATCTGAGCTACTGATGTCCCACCCAAAACCTGTTCTGCACACTGTGGTCCTCATCTCAGTTCATGGCAACTCCATCCTTCCAGTTGATTAGGCCAAGATTCTTCTAGCCATCCTTAACTCCTTTCTTTCACATCTTATGGGCAGTCTCTCCAAGATGTAGCCAACGCCCAACCCCTTCTCACCACTTCCACCATGACATCTTTTGTTCCAAGCCCCTGGATTATCCTGAATGATCTCCCTGCTGCTTTCCTGCTTCCCATCCCAGTTGATTTCCAGTAGGACAACCTGAGTGATCTTTTAAGAGTATAAATCAGATGGTGTCCCTGCTGTGCTGCCAAAACTCCATTGTGCCCCCATTTCGCTTAGAGCAGTGGTTTCCAGTCAGAGGTGATTCCCCTTTTCCAAGGCACATCGGCGTCTGGAGACATTTTTGGTTGTCACAGTTGGAGGGAGGTGCCATGGGCATCTAATGGGTAGAGGCCAGAGATGCTGCTAAACATCCTACAGTGTATAGGACAGCCCCCAAACTGAGTTATCTGGTCAAATGCCAATAATGTCAAGGTTAAGGAACCCTGAGTTGGAGAAAAAAGCTTAACAAAGTAGCCTAGAAATCTACATGATCTGGCATCCATGACCTCTCCACCTTCTCCCCTACTACCCTGCTCCTAGTGCATTCTATTCCTGTCATGCTGGCCTCCTTACTATCCCCTTGTATGTGCCAGACATGCTCCCACCTCAGGGTCTTTGCACAGGCAGTTCCCTCTTCCTGGGCAATACCTTTCCTCCTGCTAGTCCTATTACTAATTCTTTCATTCCCTCAATCTTTTGCTCAAATCTCACCTTCTCAGTAAGGCCTCCTTTGAGCAACTTACTTTAAATGCAATACTCCTTCCCAGTGGCACTCCAAATTTACTTATCCTGCTCTGCTTTTCACTGAGTATATTTTAATTGTCTGTACAACTGACTTATGTATTACACTGCTGTTTATTGTCTGTCTCCCCCTACTAGAACGTAAGTTCCACAAGGGCAGGGACTTTGTTTTATCCCCCCAGTGATCCTAGAACCGTGTCTGGCATTTAATAGATGTTTGGTTGCTATCCTGATGAATGAAAGGATAACAGAGTGATGGATTGAATGAAGGATGGTTGGAGGAATCTCCTTGTCACTGACCTTCCCGGCTCCACTCTGCCCACTGCATTCCATCCTGTGCTGGTGTACATGGGGTCGTTGGAAACCGTCCTGTATGTACGGAATAATACCTAAGGGTCTTCCAGTCTCTTGGAAATCAGTATTCTTCAAGTTAGTCTCAAATCCCCATCCGGTTCCATTGCATCCCCCAGGTATCTGTGTGGCCAGCACCTTAAGAAATATTCATAACAGACTTGGGATGATGGGAAGCTCAGATACACTTAGCTTTGTTACAAAACAGGACTTTTTTGTCTAAACACACAAAAAGTTATCTTCAGAGTCTATGTCCACCGCAGTGAGGTCAGCAGTATTCTTAGGAGACAGACAGAGGGTCAGATTTCCACACCACGACATGCAACCCCACCATTGGGTGGGTTTTGTGAAGGAGGAGGAAGGAGAAGGTGAGGTGGTGTCAGGCCTTCTGGAGCTTGGTATACCCCTAGCCCTAGAGAGTCAGTCTGGAAGTGGGCAGGAGACAGTTCCTCTGGGCCAGGTGTCATCAGCCACTAGCCTCAGCACTGTGCACAAGCAGCATGCCTGAGGAGTGCAGGGCAGTCGCCCAAGGCATGACCACAGCCCTGGCTCTCTGTGGAGCTAGGCCAAGGATCAGTCCCCCAGACTTCTCTGGCACCCCACTAACATGCCTCAAATCCCCATACAGCCCCTTATGCGGGGCCAAGTGCATGCCCACTCGTCTGTACAACTCCCTTGGCAGTTAGGCATGCTCTTGGCTGTGTCTTATTACACCTTTCCCTTTGAAGGACTACCCAGCATGTCCTGTCTTTTGAGTATATGATGTACTTGTCATTGTCTTCCTGGGAATTACTAGGTCTCTTTTTCCATCTAGATTGTAAGCAAGAAAGAAGTCCTTTTCCACATCTTTGCCAACCTCCCTCTGACACTGGGATTATTGAATAAACCCAAGGTTCTGCCCATTTCAACCCTAATTGTCCTCTCCAGCCTTGACTCCTAAACACCCCCGCCTCCCCAAATGTCCTCATAATCCCTGACATTACCCCTGTCTATTTCTACCTTTCTCCCTCCTGTTAAAATTGTCTCTCTCCTAATGACACATGGTTCAGATGCTGCCTGCTCCTGAAACTTAAGAGTCTCTGCCCTCTGTGTTCTCACTGAATTAAGTCAGAGCTGTCATCAATCTGGCTTTGATTAGGAAGTATTTGTTTAATTATGCTAAGTGCAGTAAGCCAGACTCAGGGAAAATATTGTATGAGTCCACTTAATTGAAGTATTCAGAATAGGCAAATACGTAGAGACAGAAAGTAGAACCGAGGTTGCTGGGAGCAGCGGGGGTGCGGAGGAATGAGGAGTTTTTGTTGAATGCATATAGAGTTTATGTTGGGGATGATGAAGAAGTTTGGGGTACAGACACTGGTGATGGTTACACCAACATCATGAATGTATTTCATGCCACCAAACTGTACCTTTGAAAAAAGTTAAAATGATAAATATGTGTATTTTACCATACTATAAAAAGGTAACTAAAAAACCCAGAAAGGTTACTTGTTTAATAGTTTCTTAATAGATTGCAAGCTTGTGGGGATGGGGAGAAAACATGATTTTTTCATCTTCACCCAGCCCAGTGCTTTGCATGGGATAATCACTCATTATTGCTTCAATTCAGGGATGGAAGTCAATGGAAAGAAGCACTGAATTCAGGCAAGGTTTCCCCATACCTCTTAACAATTTTTAAAAATTCATTTTATTGATTGATTTTATCAGAGAGAACCCTGTTGATGGTATTATCTCAGAAAGAAAATGAAAAACATGAAACTAAAAATCATCCCAAACTGCTTTCTATTTTCTTAGTGTTTGCATTTATAGCATGGGGAGCATTTTAGCAAGCTCAGTTTGAATAATAATAACTTTCAGGGCGCCTGGGTGGCTCAGATGGTTAAGTGTCTGCCTTCGGCTCAGGTCATGATCCCAGGGTCCTGGGATCAAGCCCTGAATCGGGCTCCCTGCTCAGCGGGGAGCCTGCTTCTCCCTCTCCCACTCCCCCTGCTTGTGTTCCTGCTCTCGCTTTATCTCTCTCTGTCAAATAAATAAAATCTTAAAAAAAAAAAAAAGATGAAGGGTGTACATTAAGCCTCACTCTTTAATATTTCAGTTCATATAATCCTTTTACTCTGCTGATCTGCAATTATAAATTATACAGTTTCATGCTACACATAGCCTTACAAGTTAGAAAGAAGCATAAAGTTCTCGATGTGAGCGCTCATCCAACAAGATTAGGGTGGAGAGATCAGAGAGAAGTGAAATGTTTACATGAAGAAATAGGTGAGTGCTGAGATTGATAGGTTTCATAGTCTGTCCATAAACTACCACCAGAGGCTATTTCCTACAGACGATTTTTATGGAGAAGAAACTATAAATTAATTTGGAGATATTTTCCTATGGAAAATAATCATGGATAAGTTTCTAAGATGTATGTCCTTTGCTTCAAAGTCTCACAGAGAGGGGAAGTAGGAGGGAGGGAGGATATAAATAAAACATGCTTGGCCACCAACAGATAATTATTGAAATAAAGTGTTGGGTACATAGGTGGTTTTATTATAGTATTTCCACTGCTTGTTCAAATTTGAAGTTTGCCAAAATAAAAAATTAAGGGGAAAAAAGGAAATAGATTCTGAAATGAGGTAGCCAGTGGTCTATTATTCCTTAAGCCTGCTCAGTTAATTCAGTTAATGAAGGTATTTGAAAATGAGGGACTTTGATTTGGCTCAAGGCACTATCAAGATAATATCTTGAAAGTTTATTACCAATCTGTATTTGAAATCCTGAGTCAGACTTTTTTTTTCAAGATTTCTTTTTTTTTTTTTTTAAAGATTTTATTCTATTTATTTGACAGATAGAGACATAGCAAGAGAGGGAACACAAGCAGGGGGAGTGGGAGAGGGAGAAGCAGGCTTCCCGCTGAGCGGGGAGCCCGATGCGGGGCTCGATCCCAGGACCCTGGGATCATGACCTGAGCCGAAGGCAGACGCTTAACGACTGAGCCACCCAGGCGCCCCTCAAGATTTCTTATTAATTTGAGAGAGAGCCAGCAAGGGAGGGAGCATGAGCAGGGGGAGGGGCAGAGAAAGAAGCAGGCTTCCCGCTGAGCAGGGAGTCGGAAGCGGGGCTCCATCCCAGGACTCTGAGATCATGACCTGAGCCAAAGGCCAATGCTTAACCCACAGAGCAACCCACACACCCCGCTGAGTCAGACTTTTGTATATCTTAAATAAGGTACATATTGACATACCCCCCAAAATGTGTGTGTGTGTGTTTATGCACACACATAAAACTAAACAAAAGTGATTTTAACTTTGAGAATTTCTGACATCTCTTGGCAATGCAGACATACTTTAGGTGTCACTGGTTTAAAGACCCCAGGTAAGGAGTTAGGCCTGCAGGTGAGGAGCCTCCATGGGATTCAGAACTTTAGACCAGTCCCCTTTAATGTGGTGACCGTGCATCTTTGCTCCTTGCGTTCAGTGTGTTCGTTGGCAAAGTGATGCATACAACAGAGTGCGTGGCACCAGGCTGAGAGGCTGGCTGTTGGCCACAGTTCACTTTACAATACTTGTCCAGACACATGGCTTGTTGCTGGTTATAAAGGGATCTGCCTGGAGCCCGCATTTGTTCCTTTCAAGGCAGCAATAGGAAGTAACTCTGCTTCCTGCTTTTACTGGACACAGCTCAGGTGTGATTTTTTTTGTTCTCTCCTTTCCCTTAGGTGTAGCCTTCTCCTCTCTAGCTCCGATCTAGTGGGGTCAAGGGCAGCAATACAGGGGAGAAGAGCTCTTTCACAGCCAATTAAAAGCAGTGAAGTACATGAAGAGAGGGAAGGGTGAAATGAGAACATTTGCCTCTTTGCTTAGCATTGGTAGGGATCCGCCACCATTGCCAGACTTTTGAGTGCCTCCTTGAGCAGGCTTAAGGAATAATAGACCACTGGCTACCTCATTTCAGAATCTATTTCCTTTTTTCCCTTAATTTTTTATTTTGGCAAACTTCAAATTTGAACAAGCAGTGGAAATACTATAATAAAACCACCTATGTACCCAACACTTTATTTCTTTTTGTGACTTTGGGCCCCTCTCCTCCCCGCCACCATTGCCAGACTTTTGAGTGCCCTCTGATAGGCCAAAGGCAGAATCTGAGGAGTCGCGGATGGTTTTCCTTGCCATATGATGTGCATTTCCAGAGGCTCCAAGGGGGAGAGATTCATTGCACACCTGGAAGGTGGAATTCATGCCTTGTTCCACTTTGCATCCCAGCAGCCAACATGGTTCCTGGAACAAAGGAAATGACCATAACTGTTGAAATGCAAACGTTTAGTGGCAGAATTCCCATCCCTGTGAGACTAGCTTCGATTTGTCTCTGGACATGGTCCTCCTTCAGATGGGCAGAGCTTCGGGGGTCCTTCAGATCTTATCTGTAGGGATACGAGGCCCTCCTCTTAAATGGCAAGCATTTAAAAGTGTTTCAGAAGTATAGATAACCACACAACGGGGTGATGGCGGCATCTAGGAAAAGCCCTTCCTACTGTGCAAGAACATGCTGGCAGTCACTTCACAGTGTGCGGTTCTTGGAATCGGGATCAACATCTCCCTCACCAAGGAAGTGTGCCCAGGTCACCGAGCTGCCCTCGCGGGCCAGGCACCGTGTCCCTGAGAGATGCAGCTGTGCCAGAGACAGACAGGGTCCTTACCGCCGCGGGGCTCGTGGCTGGGGAGGTGGCGTCCTAAAGTCCATTCTCGATGAGGTGTGCAACTGCACGCAGCACCGCGAGGGAGACGAGGGCGCCAGGCTCGCCCGGTGAGCGCAGGGTCAGGGGAGGCTTCTGGGAGGTGGTGCAGGAGAGGAAGGCCTGCGGAGAGGGGAGGAATTGACCAGGCGGCGGGTGGAGGAGGAGCATCTGCAGCAGCCCTGAGGCGGGAGGGAGCTTCTTCGGGAGCGAGCGGGAAGAACCCGAGTCCACGGGGCTGGTGTGCAGGCAGGAGTGGGAAGTGGATGGCGCAGCAGAAGAGTCTGTCCTCCTGGGGTAGCCAGTGAGTTTCCGGAAGAGGAGCGGATTAACCACCGACTCATCCCCCCCTCCTCCCCTCCCCCTCCCCACCCCCAGCCCTGCCATGTGTACTCATAGTCTGAATGCTGTTGTCCTGCTTACAGGTTTCCACTTGATGGGCAGTCTCCGTTGTTTATAGCTTTGCCTCCTCTGTCCTCCTGCCTCTAGGTTATTAGGTTCCTGCAAGTTATTTGGGGCCCGGTCAAGATTTCAAGCTAAACATGGTGGCGATGAGTAGCCTGAGGGTCATTCTTCAAGCCTCTCCATGCAAGTCACTGTGGAGAAGATTGCAGACCGCCAGGTTCGTGCCAGCGAGGCCCTGCAGCCTCTACACCTGCACGTACAAAAGCCGGAACCGAGCCTGTGAGTACACTGCTGCCTTAAAGAGAGCAAGAGGTGGGGGTGCCTGAGGGGCACGGTCGCTTAAGCGGCCGACTCTCGGTTTCGGCTCAGGTTGTGGTCTCAGGGTCACGAGATCGAGCCCCGCGTCGGGCTCCACACTCAGCTTCAAGTCTGTTTGAGATTCTCTCTCCCCCTCCCTCTGCCCTCTCCCCCCCACCTCCCCCGCTGGCCCATGCTCTCTCTCTCAAATAAATAAATGAAACTTTTGAAAAAAGAGACTGAGAGGCTTGGTGTTGCATGACAATGACGTGTGTCCTGTGTTTATCCATACGGGTGTCGGTGGCATTGCAGAGTGGGATTATGTATGTGCCTTTAGAATGTGAGAATAACCACTTGTTTCTTTGTCTTCTAAAATAAATGTGGAAAATTCTTTTCCCCCAGGTTTATTGACATAGAATTGCCACCTAACATTGTGTAGGTCGAGGTGTGCCATGTGCTGATTTGATACACATATATATTGCAAAATGATTTCCATGATAGGTTTGGAAAGTTCTTTTCTTGACTAATTTTAACATGTTAAAATGATGTCGTGTCGGTGGTGCCTGGGTGGCTCAGTCGTTAAGCGTCTGCCTTCGCCTCAGGTCATGATCCCGGGGTCCTGGGATCGAGCCCCGAGTCAGGCTCCCTGCTCTGCGGGAGGCCTGCTTCTCCCTCTCCCACTCCCCCTGCTTGTGTTCTCTCTCTCGCTGTGTCTCCCTCTGTCAAATAAATAAAAACAAAGTCTTAAAAAAAATAAATAAGATGATGTCATGCAGAAATAGGATAAGAGAGGTGTCCCAGTTTCAAATACTCTGGAACCTGTTCTGTATCGTTCTTGTTAGCAGCAGTCTTCTTACTGACACTGATCCACAGACTGCGAATTATTTCTGTGAGTCTTTAACGTTCTGGAAGTTGCATGTTAATGTGTGTAAGCAGGTCGGTAGCTTCACGCTCTGGAATATCCTTTCTCAAGTCACAAACGGCAGCGTTCATTCCAGTTGACCAGCTTACCGGCGTGTGCTCTGCCGTAGACGCAGCGTATCAAGCGAGGCGGCAGATGGCCTTTCCTGAACGCTTTCGCATCTCGTTCCCCTCCTGAAATACCAGTTCCCTGCCCCATCCCTATGGAGCAGGGATTGTGCACCGAGGTACTGCTGACAAGAGGGATGGGTCATTCTGTGTTGTTGTGGGTGCAGTGTACACTGTGGGGTGATTGGCAGCATCCCTGCCAAATACCCATTAGATGACAGTTGTATCCCCACCCAGTTGTAACAACCAAAAATATCAGCAGACATTACCAAATGAGCTCTGGGGGCACAAAACTGCCCCTGCTTAAGAATCAGTGGGACGGGGGCGCCTGGGTGGCTCAGTCGGTTAAGCGTTTGCCTTCGGCTCAGGTCTTGATCCCAGGGTCCTGGGATTGAGTCCCACATGGGGCTCCCTGCTCCGCGGGGAGTCTGCTTCTCCCTCTCCCTCTCCCTCTGCCTGCCACTCCCTCTGCTTGTGCTCTCTCTCCCTCTCTCTCTCTCTCTTTCTGACAAATAAATAAATATATATATATCTTTAAAATAAAAGAATCAATGCGACGATAGGAGAGAATAATGTATTTATTTGTGGAGAGATGAGTTTGAATTTGTGGAGGGGTAAAATGGCTAAGTATGTTGTTAAAGAGGAATTTCATATTTTCTGTTATTTTAAAGGAATTAACAGAATTTTCACGTGTTGCCTTCCTTCTGGGTCTAGGTTTCTCCACTTTTTCTCTTTGGGTTTACTCTCTTTTGATATCATATGCACGTAATAAAGAAAGAAGGTAAGAAAGGAATGCTTTTAAATTAGTCGTGCTAACCTAGCTAAATCCAAGGATTTGGAACTGCTCCATAAATACATTTCTGTTCCATATTTACTTTGTTTCCTCCAACAATGACAGTGTTCTCATTCAAGTGAACTGGTTGGAGTCATAACAAATTTCTGGTTGCTGGGTGTGGCTTCCTACCAACAGACCCACATCCTACCAGGACTGGCTTATTCTCAACGCTGGCATTTTGTGGTCTGAGGCTTAAAATGGAAAAAATTAGTCATGTTCATGTAGTTACTAAAGTTTTACTTTTTTTAACAGAGAGTTGAAAGTTAAAGGTCTAAAATCCAACATACGAATGTCTTTAGGATGGTTTGTTTCTTCTAGGGCTGACTAAAACAAAAAGTGGTGGCTTGGGGAGATGTGTGCTTTCCGTGATTAATTTGTCACATCAGATGTTCTTGTTTTTAAGTTACTAAGAAAAAAAGGTAACAGACACGATTTGATTTGGCTTTTGGCATATTGCACCACCCCTCCCTTTTTGCAGGGGAGAATATTACAGTCTCCGCTGCCCTGAGCCACTGAGCATGTCGTGTTCCTAAATCCCAGACCCTCCACTGATCAGTTGTAAAAACAATACGCATTGTATCTGGCAACTTAAAACTCCAGCAGGAGGCCCGTTGTCTACTTGTGTGATAGAATGCCCCAAGATCATTGAGGGTTAGAAAAGATAACATGGAAAGTCCTTAGCTGGTGCCTGCCACACAGTGAGGACTGTGTTGGCACGTTACTTCGAGTACTAGGATTATCGTCATCACCGTCTTTATCTAATCATCACAGGCTCAGTGCCTCCCTCAGATGTTTGTCTGGCCATTGTTAAGATTGGGTTAAGCAGAATGAGGAGTAAAGGAAGGAGGAGGATATGGCCGATTCAGAAAGCAGCATTTCCCTAGAGCCTGTCTGTGCTTTGTGCTTCACCTTCACTCCTCTCCCCCCCGCCCCCAGGGAATCATTGGCTGTCCACGCACATTGCTGTTTGCTCTTATCTCAAGGAGCAGACGGTAAATGTTGACAGTCCGGCATCTATTACCTAAGGTGCAAATAAAATCAGTTTCGCTTAGTGTATCATCTAGTGAAGTTTAGCCTAATTGTCACATGAAAAAAAAAATACTAGGCAGAGATCTTAGAGCAGAAAAAAATAAATTCAATAATGTTAATTTTTAATTTAATGAAATATAAAGAGTATCAACTAGAATGAAGATGGTACAGATTTGTTGTTATTCCAGTGATAATCTTAACGATCTCCCTGCTTTGAGAAGGAAAACAAACTTGTTTTTTTTTCTTTTTAGGACAACGTGGAATAGAATGGCACTGTATAAAATCTAGCCACTGGCCCCATGTGTGTATTTTCACATAAATGTCAATTTATTATAATTTTATGGGCACAAGTTGCTAGCACTTACCATATTGAAAATTTCCATCATCGGAGAAAGTTCTGTTTGACAGGACTGGTCTGTATCATAACTGTATTAGTAAATTGTTCTATTATTTCTCCTGTTGACTTTGATGAACACAAAGGCTGGACAACAATAGTATTAAGAAGCTTGTTGTTTGTGTTGGGCGCCTGGGTGGCTCAATCGTTAAGCATCTGCCTTCCCTTCGGCTCAGGTCGTGGTCCCAGGGTCCTGGGGTCAAATCTCTAGAGACAGCGAGAGAGGGAACACAAGCAGGGGGAGTGGGAGAGGGAGAAGCAGGCTTCCCGCTGAGCAGGGAGCCCCAATGTGGGGCTTGATCCCAGGACCCTGGGACCACGACCCGAGCCGAAGGCAGACGCTTAACGACTGAGCCACCCAGGCGCCCCCGTAAATAAAAAAAATCTTAAAAAAAAAGAAAAGAAAAGAAGACTTGTTTCGCAATGTCTTCACAGAGAATTTTATTAATCCCTAGATAAAACAAACTGGGATACCCCGACTATGTTGTCTTCCATTAACTCATGAATAATCCTGAGAAACAAAGGACTGGTTAAGAACCCCTTGAAATTATGTTAATAGCCTCAGGGGTGCCAGTCGCTATAAGGAGCTAACACATAGCCCTCAACACATGACCCCCAGGAACTGTGGGCTTTAGTCTCCTGTGCTGATAAATGCATGTGTATGCTGTAGCTACCTGGGCTCAGCATCAAGGTGCATCTAACAGCCCTCATGCTCTGAGAAGACAGTTTGTGATTCTGAGATCATCCTTAACGTTTTGTCATTTGGGAGGGGGCTGTCCCTTTGTATCACGTCCCTGTGCTGAGCCCCAGGCCTACTAGGGTGGTCTTCAGTTCCACGAGGAAATCGCACATCTCGAGAAAAAGGACGGTAACAGGGCAAGGCGCGGGAGGAAAAGCCAGTGAGGGTGTAGAACAACAGTGTCCAGTGGAAAAATAACGTGAGCCACCAATATGAGCCATATAGGCAATTCTGTGTTTTCCAACAACCACATTTAAAAAAGAACAAATAGCATGTGAATTACATCTCAGTAAAACTGAAGGAAAAACAAAATTGTTCATTTATGAAATACTATACAGGAAATATATAGATGAAATATAGTATACAGATGAAATTAATTTTACTAATATATTTTACCCAGTATATCCAAAATATTAATCACTTTTTTAAAAGATTTTATTTATTTATTTGACAGAGAGAGAGGGAACTCCAGCAGGGGGAGTGGGAGAGGGAGAAGCAGCAGGCTTCCCGCCGAACAGGGAGCCCGATGCAGGGTTCGATCCCAGGACCCCGGGATCATGACCTGAGCCGAAGGCAGACGCCTAACGATTGAGCCACCTAGGTGCCCCCAAAATATTACCACTTTAACCTGTAATTGGTGTAAAAAGTATTGAGATAGTTTACATTCTTTATTTTGTACTAAGTCTTGAAAGCATGTAGGTGTTTTACACATTTATAGCATATATCACTTGGAATGACCAAGGAGAATAGAATGGCAAAACCAGAGTTTGGGAAGAATGAGGAGACAGGAAATTTAGGTGGCTGAGGTGGGTTCCTGATAGGAAAACCTTGGCACTGGACACAAATTAGGACTTGACATAGAGACTTTAACGCAGGCACAACGTGATGAGTGGTAATTTAGGAAAACTGGTGAATGACAAAACATGGTAAAGGGTATTAAGACCAAGAGGCATGGTATGAAGTCCAGGGTATAGGGCCCTGAACTGGGCTGCTGGTTATGGGCAAGGCAAGAGATAAGCCTGAAAGATCCTTAAAGAAAATATAATGTGATCAGTAAAGTAATAGGCATAGAGATGGAAAGAAGACTGGAACCTTCCCAGCAGTGCTCTTCATCTTATATGTTCAGTGAACAGGCAGTGATTAAAAGCCACTTCAGTTCTTCTTGGGGCTTATACAACACTGGGAGAGGCAGATAATTAAGCATGTATGCATAGAATTATTACGCCTGTGTGACAAATGTTTTGAAGAAAACAATGTTAGGATTTTTTTTAAAGGGGGGGATCATATAATAAGAGGGTAGTCAGAAAGGTGAGGAGGCGACACTTTTGCCGAAGAGGTGACAAGCCAATAATAGGAGCCAGCCCTGAGCTGAATGAGGGGAAATTGATTTCTGACGAGGAGGAGCAGGAACTGAGGGGCTAAGACAGGAACGTGCTTTCTCTGTTTCACGAGTTGAAAGAGGGACCCTCCTGAGGCTTGGAGACACAGGGTGGTACAAAGACAAAATAAGTCAAAACCAGGACTAGTCCTCCAGATAAGAACTAGAATTGAGCACATTTTCACTATGGAATCTACAGGTATTTTTGTTGCTCATCAGCAGTATAGGAGTGACAGCTTCATAATGGGAGTGTGGCTCTGCTCACTGAAACATGGTGGGTTAAGATCACTGTTTCTGTTTATTTCACTTTCCCCCTATGAGAAGAACCTGAAAATGAAGGCACTGTTGATCAGAATACTTAATCCTCTTCCTGTTTTGAGGGAAAGTATGAGCAACTACCAAGATATTTCAGTCTGTATTTTGTTAAAGTGGAGGAAGGAGCTGGGAGTATTGGGAGAGGAAAATTTTTCGTTTACTCTTCAAAGTTCTAACTGGTCTAAGAATTAAATTGACATGAGACAGATCGACAGAAAAGAAATCCCAAAAGTTTAAGTACATGCATGTGGAGGCTCAATAATACAGTTGTCATCCAAAGAAATGACCAAAGTGGCTAGCATTTCTACCGTTACAAAGAAACAATAACAATGTGGGGAATTGGCAAGACAAAGAAAACGTATTATTCAGGATCTTCAGTTCGTAAGGAATTCTAAACAGAATTTGGGCTGGAGTAGTAAATTAGTAAAAGGAACAAGGGTTACCTATACAAACTTCTCGGCTCTGAATTTCCTATCTCTGGTGATAAGGTTTGTCTCTTTACCTCCTGGTGCAGGAAGAGTACCTTTCACATGGGAGATTTATTTCTTGCCTTCTGGAGGCAAAGGGGGTTCCAAGTGTTCTTGCACTGGCTGTTTCTTAAGTAACTTTAATTCGAAATAATAAGCCAAAGTGGCACATTTTGGGGTGGCCTGCCCTTGGCACCCACAGGAAGAAAGAACAAAAATGTCACTGTATCTCTCACGACAGTTTATCTTGCAGAACAAACCCTTGGGAAAAGCTGGCTTCACTAGGGTGACAGTCACTAAGGGGCCTTGGTCGGGGGATGGTCTGGGTTCCCAGAGGAGGAAGTGGTGGTGGGGGCAAGGAAACCTTCTAGAAGCTGAACTTGTGAATCAAAGGGCATAAATTGATAGGAGCGTTAAGGTCATAAAAGAGCAATGAAGGAAAAGGCCTGCTTTTCTTGGGCTAGTGTTTGCATGGGTGAGAGCAGATTCTGGGCATTTCCTGAATGGAGTGTGGGGGACGAGTCAAGGTGAAAGGAGGGATCGTCTTGGGGATCTGCTTGTTAGTTTCCTTCTTGCCTAGTCCTTACAGGAGACCCTCATGAATTGGGTTTGAAGAGTGTGAGTTGTCAAACCTTCAGCCATAGTCTGAGTATCTTAGAGGGGAAGGAGTTGCAAGGTCTCTTTGTGCCAGGCATGCTTACAACTGAATCAGGGTTGTTTGCCTGTGTTGGAAGGTGGGAGAAGGGTAGTAAAGTTTCCCCCAAACTGAGAAGACACTTTGAGACCGGAACACAAAGCAGGCCACTCCGTACAGTTTACACCGAGTTTTATTCAGAGTAACTTACTGCGGGGTATCAGGCAGGTGACGGCCGATCCAGACGAGACACAGCTATTCTTTGGAAAGTCTGGACCTTGGTCCACAGATTTTATAGAGCGAGGGGACTCTCGGGCGCTGTAGTGAGGTCAGAGGGCTCACATGCATTTCACAAGGTTTGCATGCACCTAATTGACAGCCAACATTGAACAGACCTTGTGGCACTATCTGTGCATCGGGAAGGGGAGAGAGACTGTGTTATCTCTGATAGATTCGTAGGAGACCAAGACGAACCTCTCCACATTCTGGCCTTGGCTGGCATTTCTAAGGTACAAATATTAATCTCTAAGGGGCCCATAACACATAGCCGCCAGACAGGTCTGCGAACAAGATGGAGGGCCAAAGATGGAGTCAGTATTGTCAGCACCCCTACAAGTTACTTTCTAATTTGCATTCCAATTAGATTATTATATTAAAATATCGTACCAGGCAAATGCATTTTCTGTTTTAGGTTTTTGAAACAAAATTCTTGTTTTCAAAGGAACAAGTTCTTTTATACTAAGAAAATCAGTAAAAACATTGGGTTTGGATCTCTCCAGAGATAAGATGGTACTGTTTTACAGAAAGAAATAGTTAAAAAAAAAAAATACCCTGAGTTTGCAGAGACCATGGTTTCTCAACTTACTGACATTTGGGGTCATACAATTCTGTGCATTGTAAGATGTTTAGCTGCATGTCTGGCCTCTGTCCACTAGATGTCAGTAGCACTCTCTTCCAGTTGTGACAGCCCAAAATGTCTCCAGACGTTGCCAAATGTCTTCTAGGGGCAGCATCCCTCCTTCTGTTGAGAACGACTGGTCTACTCTCAGGAGAGCCCTCTGTCTCATTTTTACCCCCCGCAAAAAAAACCCATACGGCTAGGATTTTGAATTTATAGATTTTAGCAGCTACCCAAGCAAAACAAATGTCTCCTTTGTAAAGGTCAACCGGAGGCAAGTTTCTGGGCCTTTTTAAAATTTTTCTTAAAGATTTTATTTACTTATTTGAGAGAGAGAGGGAGAGGGAGAAACAGCATGAGAGGGGAGAGGGTCAGAGGGAGAAGCAGGCTCCCCTCTGAGGCGGGAGCCCGATGTGGGACTCGATCCCAGGAGTCCGGGATCATGACCCGAGCCGAAGGCAGTCGCTTAACCAACTGAGCCACCCAGGCGCCCTGGGCCTTTTTTTTAAATGAAAAAAGGTGTCTCTGTGAACCTGCCATACAGAGTGGGTTGACTGAATAGCAGCTACCTTATCACTTTCTCAGATCCTTACTCTCATTCTTCGTAGTGGGGTGAGGCTCAGAGGGTCATTGGTAATGATTTATCTCAATTCATGTTTCTTCTGCCTTCCCTACTGCGCTTGGTTCTACCCATCTGGGGTGTTTCTACGGGACAGAGAACTGGAGCACCCCCAATCATGCATGTCGTCCTATCCCTCATGCATGGATGTCTCATCAGCTCTCTGTTACAGGAAGTCCACTGAGATTTATCAGACTTCCCATGAACACCTGGTGCTTGATTCTTTGTAGAAAAATCATTATCAGTGATGTGTGGCAGCTGTGTGGAGTCCCGGGCTCGAGCCCCGCGTCGGGCTCCCTGCTCGGCGGGAAGCCCGCTTCTCCCTCTCCTACTCCCCCTGCTTGTGTTCCTGCTCTCGCTGTCTCTCTGTAAAATAAATAAAAAAAGAAAAGAAATGACTCCTCCTCCTCGCCAGATTCATCGGTACCTTCCTTCATTTTTCCAAAACCCTGGGGTATTGCCCTCATCTCAATTGGAAGAGTGTAATATCGCATTGTATAAAGAATCCAGAAGTCTTCCAAATCACAAGCTAAATTACAGACGCATGCCACGCAAGCCTTTATTCCTACTAGCCCGGCAATTAAAAAATTTACAGTGCTTTAGTGAACACTTGCGTTCCAAAAATTGTCCCTCCTCTTCCCCCGTGGCCTTTGTTGAAGAGAAATCCACGACGGAAAGTTTCATTAATTTGTACTTGTATGCGAACCTGGTTGGTGGGTGGGGCTCAGAAGATGATCAATAAAGAAAGGAAACCCGTTTGAGAATCCCCTCCTTCCACGTGGTGCTAGTCTGCACGCATCTTACTGTCCTCAGGAGACCGGGCGGCACCTGGTTTAGGTGAGAGGAGAGGGTAGACCGAGCGGCTCGCGGCTGACAGAGCAGCAGGCTGCCCCTGCGCCAGGCGCTCTCTGAGCCGCCTCTGTCCCCTGCTTCCGTCGGGCCCATGAGCCCCCGGGTGGCTAATTCCTGAGACTTGGATTCCGTCACCTCGACACACGCCAGCACCGGAGTTGCCTGCCGTGTGATCCCGGATAGCGGTGTCTTGACGATGGCCCCGCTGTGCTTTCTCCTAGTGCACCCGCTCTGGGAGACCGTGGACCTGGTCCCGGGGGGCGAGCGCCAGTCGCCCATCAACATCCGGTGGAGGGACAGCGTCTATGATCCTGGCTTAAAACCGCTCACCATCTCTTACGACCCCACCACCTGCCTCCATGTCTGGAATAACGGGTACTCTTTCCTCGTGGAATTTGAAGATTCTGCAGATAAATCAGGTGAGAGCCCGACTGGTGGTCTTGTCTGGAGTTAAGGGACAGCCTCGTGTCAGCCCAGGCCACACCACACCGCATCCACGGGCACGCAGACCGCCTTGGGCAGTGGCATGGGACTCACTGCACTGAGCTTTTTCAACATATGAAAAAAAATCCCGTCTAGTTTTTATGAACATTTTCTTCTAGTATAGGTAGTACTAATAAGTATGTATATTTCTATATATAGATAGGAGATAGGTTTTGAAATTAAAGCTTTGCCTGAAGTTTATTTTGTGTGTATTGAATATGTACTAATTTTCTCTGCTTGCTTACTTTACAAGACACTTCTACATTAAATAGTATTACTATTTAGATTTAACTGAGCTGATTGCAATACCTTTGAAATGGGGTAAAAAGAATATTCATGTGTACATGACATTATTGTCTTAACAACCAGTTCTACATAGAAAAATGAAAACTCACATTCTGTTTATTTTATTGATTAAACAATGTTACTTGGTTTAATAGAAACACAATTTAAAAGAGATTTTCAAATCCAAATGTTGTATTGCTTTTGAATCTTCTGGTTTTCAACCTACCCAGATATAGACTAATCTGAATGATTTCAAAGTTTACCTGAAACTTTTAGTGTCTGCTGAACACAGAATGTGATTAATTCTATGTAGATTTCTTTTCTCTTTTTCTTCTTTTTTTTTCCAACCAAACTTGATGGTATCAAGTAATCTTAGTCTGAAATAATTTTTAGTTGAAATACTATATCTTTAAAGAGTGGCTCTCAACCAGTGGCAGTTTTGCCCCATCTCCCTCCCCAGGGGCTGGGGGACTTGGCAACATGTGTAGGCATTTTCAGTTGTCACCCTTGCAGAGTAGGGTGGAGGGAGGTGCAACTGATATCTCTTGGGTCGAGGCCAGAAAAACTGCTGAAGGAAACTACAGTACACAGGGCAGCACTCACAAAGACTTACCCAGCCTCAAAAATCAATAGAGCCTCCGAGATTGAGAAACCCTTTCAGAAATTAGTTTTCTCTCGTGAATATGAGGACATGAGCCCATGAAAGTGTGAGTGAATGAAGTAAAAAATGTAACCTAAAGCATAAACAGAAGTGTTCCCTCCTGTATCTGTCCTGGTCCTGGCTCTAGGATTCTCACCTGTATCTTGGTTCTCTCTTCATTTTCCTAGTGATGCTCTGATACTTAGACCCAGCCCTCTGGCCCCAGCCACAAACTGACTGTTTCTCCATTGGGAATTATCTCCGGCTCTCTTCCCTTTGACCTGCTTCTCTGCTGTGATCCAGGAAGTGCTCAAGTCTGTCCTTAAGAGTTTAGGTGTCCCTATGTTCCCCCATTTTCTTCTTTCTCCCCCAGGGTATGACCTAGCCCCCTAACCTTGACCATCTTACATATATTTCTCAAACTAAGAAGAAAGTAATTACTCCTTTTCCTCCCAAATCCATTAGTATCTTTCCTAGTTTTTTCCAAAACCCCGTAGTGTGCCCCCATCTCAACTGGAAGCCTGTAATATTACACTGTATATAAGGATTCCAGAAATCTTCAAACTAGCAACCTACATTCCTATGTCCCAGATGACCACCTTGCATGATGATGAGCTTTACTTTGTCTCTGTCGAATTCTACTGTTATTCCTGCCAACTAGACTAGTGGGCAGACCCAGTCTGTAAACACCAACTCTCATGCGTGCACTCGGGATACGTGGCGATCCTCTCAAGTCTCAGTCCTGTGTAGGGCCCTGGCAACCTTCTTTCTTTTTTTCTGAGGATCCTAAATGTTGGTTAGCCTTCTAATGACCTTGCTGATCTAGAGACTGTGTGTTTCCAATCTATGATTGCTTCATTGAGTTGGAAATTGTGGGAAGTTGTTCAATCGGTTTCTTAACCAAGTGATTAATCTCCAGATCATTCCAGGCACATAGCTTTCTGTTTTATTTTTTAGTCATTTTTTTTTCTTTTGAACAATAGATTCAAGAATGCTTTTCCACCCGTTTGCTTGGGCCGTCTCAGATGGAAAACAAATGACTTGATTTTCCTCATAATAGCAATGAGGTACCTCCCAAGACAACTAACTAAATCATTCCTTGACGTCACCTTCCCTAAGTGTGTCAGAGTGTCACACTGTTTTTACAAAACATACAAGAAAAATTGTGGAGAGGTTGCTAATTTTCTGCTTGTTTTGTTAGGAAGGACCAAAATAGGTAACCTCTTTTTATTAAGCGTTAATAATCATTTTCTTTAAGATACCATTAATCTATGATAAGTACCTAACTTTCTCTATCTCTTTCTTTTTCCACATTTCAGTGGTTGCCTCCTATTTCCTGCTTATTCTTCATTGCTATTTCTCCATGCTGTTGCAAAATAATTCATAGCATTCAAAGAGGAAGAAAGAGTGAATGAACATAAAACCTAAAGAAAAAGTAAAAGAGAGCAAAGACTACCTAGAAGTGAAGAAAGGCAAGAACATTGGTTCTAATTCTAGAAAGGAAAGGAGCTAATAAATATCAATGTCTATAAATTTTAAAAAACTAGGCAATGCTGCTGCAGTGTGCTTTACAAAGAACTCGGGATAAGGTATGTGAGGAAAGGGTTTGGGGAAGGTATGTGATAAAAAGAAAACATACCAGACCTTATGGGATGCAGCAAAAGCAGTGCTTAGAGGGAAATTAGATATGAAAATGCCTATATTGGAGAAGAAGAAATTTCTCAAATCAATAACCTAGCTTTCCACCTTAAGGAGCTAGAAGGAGAAGAGCGAACTAACCCCAAAGCAGACACAAAGAAGGGCATAATAAAGGACAGAGCAGAAATCAGTGAAGTCAAAAGTTGATTCTCCAGAAAGATCAACCAAACTGATAAACTCTTAGACAGGTGGACCAAGAACACAAATAAGAGAAGATTCAAATTACTAAAATCAGGAATGAAAGAGGGACATCACCACCAACCTTATCGAAATTAAAAGGATAATAAGAGAAGGTATGTGAGCGTCTTGTACCGCCACCCATTGCTGGGTGTTGTTTTCTTATTTGTCTCCCCTGAGTAGGACACAGACAGTGATTTTAATGAGTGCCTGTGAGGGATACAAAATATTCTGGGGAAGGGCACTAAATTATGCCCTTGAATGATCTCTAATAATTCTACCTCCTCCATAAGTACCCTCATCGCCTATGTCACCAGGCCTCAAAGAGAGGAAGAGATGAGTCCTGTTGTTCTCCTAAGGGTGCTTCCTGCCCCATCATGCATCACTTTACACTTTTATGGGGCATCACCGGTAAAGCCAGGAAGAATGCTTCCACAGACATTTGAAGTTCTTCCGAATTTTGGTCCCACATTTACTTTTTCAACAATGTGATGATTTTTAGCAGATTTACAAGGTGGTGGAACCATTAGAGCAGTCCAATTTTAGAACATTTCCATCACCCCCAGACAGTTTCGTGCCCATTTCCTTGCATTTAGTTTCATTTGTTTGGATCCTGTGTATCACCTTTCCCTTTATCATCCCGTTCTCTGCTAGCTCCTTCACCTTCACGTTAAAAGCAAAAGAAGGCAGCGAACATTACGTAGATTGCACACCATAGGCCCAGCACTAGGCTGGGTGTTTTATATTTGTTGTCTAATTTTTTACAAGTTTAATCCTTTCTCACCTTAGAAAACCAAAAGAACAAAATGTCAACAAGCTCAAATAAATAAATATATATTTGTTTGAAATATCTTATGACTACTCTGCTTTCTAATTTCCTATCTTCCGTCTCCCTTCTCTGCTTGTTTCTTGCTGACTGTACTTGGCCCCTCTCATCTACACTTCTTCTCCCACTTACCCCACCCTTTTCCTCGCTCTTGCTGAGGATACCAGTGATGTTTCAATTAACAAACCCAACAGACACTTTGTAGTCCATTTCTTTAGTCCCTGGTTTCATGGAGGATCTTCTAAGTTCCAGGCACTGTGCCAGGTGCCCAGAATAGAAAGAGGAAGAAGGGATGGTCACTGCCTTTAAGGAGCTTACAATGTCGGGGGGTAGACAGACCCTTGAAGAGACATCGCTAATGCAGAGTGCTAAGTGCTGTGAGGGAAGTGTTCACGTGGGCTCCAGTGGGAGAAGGCTTCCTGGCAGAGGTGACATCTGGGTAGTCCACAAGGAGGTGGAGGTTCAAGGAAGTGCAATGCTTGTATTAGGTATTACTGTGTGTAGAGTGCAAGAAGGAAGACAAGCACGTCCTGAGGTAGGCAGGAGCCGATACTCAGAGTTCTGCAGACCGTGCCCAGAGATGGGGAATCTGGGTGCACCTTACCTGGGAACTCTTGCTCTAGGTCTTGCACTCGGCTGTGATTGAGGTGTTAGCTGCGGTTGGCGTTTCATCTCCAGGCTCCTCTGGCAAAGGATCCTCTTCCAAATTCACTCAAGTGGCCATTGGCAGGATTCAGTTTCTCTCAGGGCCTCAGTTCTTTGCTGGCTGATGGCCAGAGGCCGCTCCCTTTTCCTTGCCAAGTGGGCCTCTCCGTAGGGCAGCTCGCAACATGGCAGCTGGCTTCGTCAGAGCGAGCAAGTAAGAAGAGTCTGAGAGGGCAAGCGAGATGGCAACCAGCATCTTTTTGTAACCTAATCTCAAAGGTGACATCCCATCAGTTTTGCCCTTAGAAGCAAGTCACAAGGTCCAGCTCATACTCAGGGGAAATTACATAAGGGTGTGAAGACCAGGAGATAGGGATCACTGAGAGTCATCTTAGAAACTGCCAGGACACATGGCCAATGACACAAAGCCCATTAATGCAAACTGAGGTCCTTTTCCTGTAAAGTGAATGCTCTTAACCACATCATACAGGAGAATACTTCCCTGCCTCACTTCTTCCCTATGTACAATTTATATAGGTGTAGTACCCAGCACATGTAGAGACTTTTTTAAAAAAGATTTTATTTATTTATTTGAGAGAGAGTGAGAGCATGAGTTGGGGGTAAGGGGCAGCAGGAGAGGGAGAAGCAGACTCCCTGCTGAGCAGGGAGCCCGACACCGGGCTCGATCCCAGGACCCTGGGACCATGACCTGAGCTGAAGGCAGATGCTTAACCGACTGAGCCACCCAGGCGCCCCTACATGTAGAGACTTAATGATTTTTCTGGCTAGAAGTGCCCAAGTCAGATGCCTGGGTATCTAACTTCTCTCCCAGAGATCACAAAGACAGAGGTACAGTGCCGTAGAGATAATGAGCCTGAGCCAGGCTGGGAGAGTGGAAGAAACGGCAGTGATGGTGACTGAAGAACTGTCAGGACCATCTAAAGGCAGTGGCCATTTCTCCCGCCCAGCCTGTTGCCTGGAGAGCATGTGCCCAAAATGGGCAGGACATCTCTTTCTCAAGTGGCAAATGTGGATTTTTATGTGAAATTGTCTAGCTTTAAATGTTGGTAATGAACTTTAAAATGTATTTAGTATTGTGTGGGTGAATCAAAACACACCTGAAGACCAGTTCTGCCCCCTTCCCCCTGCAGCTACCCATTGCTGACATCTCTTTGCCTTGCTCATTATCTTGGGAGGGGAGACACAGTGAGTGTCCAGGGTATGTTGCCAGTTTTTCTGGGGATAGGAGAGAAGGCCTTCCTCTCTCACCTTGCTCACTTAACTTGGGACGAGACCTTCAATTTCATTAAACACATTAGATTGAATATCTGCCAAAATCAAGCTCACAGTATGGAGCTGGCATAGCAAAACACGTTTTGGGAAGATAATTTTATTTTTATTTCAGTATGCTCTAGTACCATCCTCCTAGTAACTTAGTGAATCAGGTGGTATTATTCTCTGCACCTCCCCTGCCCCTCAAAGAAAAGTTCTCATTGGTATCTTTGCTCACCTCTTTAGAAAACTTTTTTTTTTAAAGATTTTATTTATTTATTTGACAGAGGGAGAGACAGCGAAGAGAGGGAACACAAGCAGGGGGAGTGGGAGAGGGAGAAGCAGGCTTCCCGCCGAGCAGGGTGCCTGACGTGGGGCTCGATCCCAGGACCCTGGGATCATGACCTGAGCCGAAGACAGACGCTTAACAACTGAGCCACCCAGGTGCCCCTTTCAAAAACTTTTTTTATTTTTTTATTTTTAAAGATTTTATTTATTTATTTGAGAGAGAGAATGAGAGATAGAGAGCACGAGAGGGAAGAGGGTCAGAGGGAGAAGCAGACTCCCTGCCGAGCAGGGAGCCTGATGTGGGACTTGATCCCGGGACTCCAGGATCATGACCTGAGCCGAAGGCAGTCGCTTAACCAACTGAGCCACCCAGGCGCCCTCAAAAACTTTTTTTTAAAGAAATTATGTAAAATATTTTCAAAAGGCAGTAAGATAATAGCAGACCACTGCATGACATATCCAGTGTATTTGGTCCTTGGGGGTTGCTGTTGTCATACATAAAATTCAGCTAGTGATGCAAGAAACACTAAAGATCACTAAGATAGATGTGATGGGTGGGTTTTGTGCTGTTGTACTGGTTTAACCCTGGACAGACATCACCAGGGTTGGATTAGATGGAAGAAAAGAGGAACTAATTAATATGTGTTAGCAAATTCAAGGGAAAAAATACCAGCACAACCTGAAGTCTGAGGAAGGGTGATTTTAAAATCTCATTTTATCTGAATATTTTGCGTTTAATGTATTGATTTCACTAGTTCAGAAAACTCTAAACAGAAGGTATTTATTATCCAACATGGTGAGGCCAGTGGTAGAGTGTGGATGACTCACATTGTTCACTGTGTTCAAAGAGAGAGGGGTGATAATTTTTCACTTGCAAAATTCCTATTCCATTTCAATGACAGGGAAAGAAATGCTAGTATCTTCCCAAATTGGAAAACAAGGGGCACCCGGCTGGCTCAGTTGATAGAGCATGTGACTCTTGATCTCAGGGTTGTGAGTTTGAGCCCCATGTTAGGTATAGAGTTTACTTAAGAAAAAAAAACATATCCGTGCATAAAGAAAGAGAGCATCTTTTGTCCCCACATTTCAGTTTTATGAGATTGGATTGGATAAATATGCTAAGAGAAATTTGCATTTTATTGCACAATTAGAAAGCAGGCACAATAATTCAAGGTCAAGATCATGTTCTAGGAAGAGGACTCCCTCATCTTCTAGGCATAGGCAATCAAGAAGCAGATTGAGAAGGAGATCCCATTCTAAGTCAAGGAGTAGGTGGGGATCCAAACGTCCAAGACAGAAAAGATTTCATTCCAGAGAGAGAGAGGTAGAAGGTAAAGGAGTACATCAAAAACCAGGGCCTAAAAGAAAGAAGGTAACGACAAGGAATGTTCCAAAATACCACCAAAAAGTTAGAGCACAGCCAGACGTTCCAGAAGCGGAAGCCGAGAGAGACAAGGACGAAGTAGGAGTGGCACAAGATCTCCTAAGAGCCTAGGTCACCTAAGAGAAAATCGTCTCACTCACCATCCCCTAGAAGACAAAAAGAAGAAGAAGAAAGATAAAGACAAAGAAAGAAGAGATAAAAAGAGAATAATCAACAAGCAGGAAGAAGAAAAGGAAAGATCGGGAAAAGGATCATCGGGAAAGAAAATCAGAGAGTGACAAAGATGTAAAAGTTACACAGGATTGTGATGGAGAGAAACAAGGGGATGATAGCGACAAAGAGAAAAAAGAGAAGAGGCCAACAGAACCAAGTTCCCCTAAAACAAAAAACTGTTCTGTGGAAAAAGGAATCGGTGATTCACTAAGAGAATCAAAGTGAACGGAGCTGATCATCGTGAAGAAGATAGACATGTGAGTGGCTGCACGTTGCCTCCATGGGGAGCCAGCTGCGTACTCCTACCAGCGGCCGTTCCTTTGTCTGACTTCTTAATGCTGTATTTGTTTTTCTCAAACCCACATGGATACAGTTCTGAGTTGTAAATGGTTACATAGCTCCTGATACTGATATTAGTTACTCACATCCCCAAAGCTCGTGCAGAGTGATACAGGAGTAACCAGTTCCTGACATGATGAAATCTGATTGGGTAACCAAGCCATTTGAGTCTTCCGGTGCTGCTTCATAACAAACATGAAAAGCAGCGTGCATCCACAGCAGGCGTGAATTGTTCATGTTGTGTGATCTCCTTTATTAAGTAAGTTCACTTATAGTATTTCTAGAATTTGATTCATTGCTGCAATAGAGCCATATAGGGAATGCGTGTTAATTGTGGCAGGAATATCCTAAATGCCATTAAAATCCTCCAACGTAATGGATCTGCTTATGGTCTTGTGTGCTGACATGACAGATTAGCGTTCTTATAGTTACATCTGAAAATGAACATTTGAAATAGATAATCCTTTAAGCCTCATAGCTAAATTTTTGTGGCTTTTGTTTAACTTTGAAAGGTTATGTATGCACTCATTTTTTTTTTAATGGCCGACTAGGCTTTAATTACAGAAACAAGATTTCAAATGAAACTGTCTTTGGCAGTGAATAAGTAGCATATTTTGAAGTAGAGTCATATACTTTTTCATTAAGGTGTTTAGGAATTTTTTTTCCCTGAAATCATTTATCCCACCTCTACGGCAGTGAAAGCTATCTGCCTGAGTCCATCTGTAAAAGAAAGTCGTCTCTTGTCCTGATTTTCAATTTTCCACTCTTTCATTAATTTGTTTTCATCTCAGTATTGGAAAAGGGGGTAGTGCATTTTAAATGGACCTTCATATAAGACAGATGTACTTTATAAGGTACTTTTTATTTGACCTCAAGTATAAAACCAATACCTTTTGTTACTGTTACTGCAATAGTAGTCTGATGCACACGGTGGTGGCATGTGAAATGAGGCTGGGTTCTTAGTTACAGGAGTTTCAAGCTTCACTTCTGTGCGGTAGAAACTAAAGTAGGCTACAGTCTATGCCATGTTGATGTACAGTTTCTAAAATTGTTTTACAAGACTTTGATAATAAAACCCTTAAACTTATTTCATGTTCCTGTAAAAAAAAAAAAGTGGGCACAGTAAATATAGAATATAAAAATAAGTCAAGAATTGGCCTATAACAGTTGTAGGTAGCTTGGAGTGCCGTTAAATCTCAGTGTCTTTCAGAGTGCAGGTCGTGCCCTGATACCTGTATTGACTGTGTGGAAATCAAGTTTCTATACACTCGTATCTAATATCTAAGTGGGCTCCGCTTAAGACAGGTTTATGTAGAAGGTCCACCCAAAGCTCTGGCCTTCCCCCCCCCCAACATTCCTCCATGGTATGAAAAACTGCCCCCTGAATTGTTGGGCGTGCCATTTCAGTGATCGAGGGAGGACCCCTGGAGCACAACTGCCGATTGAAGCAATTCCATTTTCACTGGGGTGCCGTCGACGCCTGGGGCTCCGAGCACACCGTGGACAGCAAATGTTACCCGGCAGAGGTATGTTGAGCAGCTTGGGAGCAGTGACAACTGTGAGGGGGGGACAGTGCTGTGTTTCTAAGACAGCCTCAGGAAAAGTTGGGGCGGGGGGGTCCTATAAATGCTAAAGCGCTCTCTCAGGCATATGTGATTACTCCCAGTTTATACATGCAAACATGATGATCTGCCCTCATCTCAAATAACAGAGCAGAAATGAACCTTAAGATCCTAAAACAGAATCCTTCCAGAATTCTAAGCTAGGCTCAAATTATAGCCTGAAGTTATAACTCAGGCCACCATGCAGGGCCACCAGGTTGAATTAATCCAAGTGAAAATTGGTAGGAGCCTCAAGGAAGGCTGTGGAGATAGAAATAGAGGAAAAGAGCAAGATTTAACAGGCATTTCTGAAATAAAAAGGCACAGGACTTGGAGGCAGGGTCCACTTCAGGAGAGGAGAGGAACAAGTGAACCGTGACCTTGAGGGTCTACTTGGGAGGCTGGGTGATGATGCATTCGTGAATGATGGACAAGAAATAATTTGTAGGGAAGTATAGGGAAGGCATAAGGAAGTAGAATTTCTTCTTACAATTTTTCCCCGAATTTAGTTTTAGATGTTACCTTAAAAAGAAGCACATTTTAAGTGGTTATCCCTCAAAGAAATTTGTCTTCAACTCTTGTCTAATTCCCATGGAGAGAATCTATTTCTCTCAACATAAACCTCTCTCCTTAGGATGCAAATAGATTTTGGATATGATGGGTTCATGCAAATCAGTATGGGAATGGACAGATGTTGCTCCCTCACTGAAATATTACTCACCTTGTTGTATTTTTTTTTTTTAATTTTTCTCCAAATAAATTCCCTCTATTCAGAAGTAATATTAGGGGTGCCTGGGTGGCTCGTCAGTTGAGTGGCTGACTCTTGATTTTGGCTTGGGTCATGATCTCAGGGTCCTGGGATTGAGTCCCGCTGATCAGGCTCTACCCTCTGTGTAGAGTCTGCTTGAGAGTCTCTCTCTCTCTCTCTCTCTCTCTCTCTCTCTCTCTCTCTCCCCCCCCCCCCCCGATAAATAAGTAAATATTTTTTATTTTATTTATTTATTTATTTATTTATTTATTTATTTGAGAGAGAGAACGAGATAGAGAATGAGAGGGGGGAGGGTCAGAGGGAGAAGCAGACTCCCTGCTAAGCAGGGAGCCCGATGTGGAACTCGATCCCAGGACTCCAGGTTCATGACCTGAGCCGAAGGCAGTCGTCCAACCAACTGAGCCACCCAGGTGCCCGATAAATCTTTTTTTAAAAAAGAAGTAACATCAATTGCTGCTCCTGCATGCAATTCTTCCTATTTATTTCTCTCATTTTGCACCAGATTGGTGTATGCTTTTCTCAGTGGCTTTATTTGGGTGAGGGACCATGTTAAAATACCGTATTGAATAAGGCTGTTTGTTTTGGAGTGATCCTGTGCGGTCATGTGTCAAACCAGCTTTTAATGGTGTTTCAGCTGCATTTGGTACATTGGAATGCAGCCAAATTTGAAAACTTTGAGGATGCAGCATTGGAAGAACATGGTTTGGCTGTGATCGGAGTATTTTTAAAGGTAAGAAAGTCTGACCAACTTTAAATGATGTGTTGTATCCTAGGATGAAAAGATACAACATTGTAACATTAAGATCTAAGTGTATTGGGATTAAAAAGAAACAATGACTGGCTTGTGGAATGTTGTACACCTGAAACTAAAGTAATATTGTGTGTCAACTACACTTCAACTTAAGAAAACAGGAAAGAAACAAAATGAACAGTGGTTAAAATACAAGATTGCTATGAATATATTTCAAGTGGTATAAAAATGCACAGTCCAGTAGAGTAGTCACAAGCCACATGTGGCAAATGAGCTCTCGAAATGGGCCTACTTGGTGGAAAAATTTTTAATTTTAATTAATTAAAATTTCAACATAAGGACTGATATTTAAGTGGAGCAGGGGCACGTTTCCCTGCAGGCACGCAGACCCTGTCAGCAAACAGCCTGCTCATTTGTTCTGTATCTAATTGAATTCAGTGACGTTTTTAGTGATCTAAGTTACCAGTTTAAGTGTAGTATAAGTCGTGTGATTGGTTTGTTTTTATGTAATCACCAGGTGACTAATTTTATTTCACATTCTGTCATGATTTCAAAAGTGAGATGTCAGTTGTTTTTAATATTTTCTCATTGCTGCTCTTTTAGCTAGGCAAACATCACAAAGAGCTACAGAAATTGGTGGATGCTTTGCCATTGATCAAGCATAAGGTAATACTATTTTTCCCTAAGTCACTTGAAATACATGTTATGTTTAATCTCAAGAGTAGAGACACTCACAAGGCACATTGCGAGTTGTCGTGAAAGAGCACTTGCCACTTCATATGCGTGTGTTGAGAGCCCCCGGCCCTGGGACACCTTACAGGGGCGGAAGTGGTTCTGTGGGCGCACGCTGACCGCTTTGGTTTTGCTGCCCTGCCCTAGCACTGGGGGACTCGGGAACCCAGTGCTCTCCCCTCCTCTGCTCCTTCTGAGTCCCTGTGGAAACACCCAGGGCAGCCCTGTTGACTCGACCTCCCATCCCACGGGCAGGGAGCAGAGAAGCGTTTGACAGAAACGTGGCTTGGCCGGCTGTAAAGAACAATGACCCGTATTCTTCAGAATGGATACCTTTGTCCAGGCCCCAGGACTAACTGTTCATGATTCAGAATCCCGAAGGGGCTGTTCCCTGGAGGTCCGCATCTTCTCTCTCTCTCTCCCTCTCTCTCCCTCTCTCTCCCTCTCTCTCCCTCTCTCTCCCTCTCTCTCCCTCCCTCTCCCTCTCTCTCCCTCTCTCTCCCTCTCTCTCCCTCTCTCTCCC